AAAGCTAAGTGCAATAAAACGAGGTCTGGCTGTAGAGCATAAAGCCAGAAACCCGCCTGGTATTGAATGGATAATGATCCCGCCCACCGCTACCCAGGGCTGGACAGACATTGGCGTGTGAGCCTTTTCTATAGTTGATATAAATTGTCTATCCCTTCAAAACACTACCAATGTTGCCCTGCTCCCTGTCTTAGGTCAGGTTCTCTGGACACCGACCTACTCAGCTGGAGATGTGTGTGCAGAGCTCTCGGGACCCCACCGGTGGGGGAGGGAAGGAGGCAGGACTGGGCGGAGGGAGAAGCTGGGTGCGATGCAGTCACAGCAAAGGCCTCAGCCACCGCCCTCCCCAGCGGAGGAGCAAGCATTGCCCTGAAGGAGGTCCCATGTGGGGCTGCCGGGCCACGGCAGTGGACACTCCTAGCAGCCGGGGAGGAGAGCCGGACCGAGGGGGACGTGGGCAGCACGTCCGTGGCCATGCCTTTCTCTCCCCGCAGGTTCTCTGGTCCCCTCTCACCCTCTTTCTCCGCCTCCTTTGATCTGGAAACAAATCATGAGCATGCTTTCCCTTGCTCCCTCTCTATGGACTCCTCCTCGGATCTCCACGGGCTCAGCCAGGTGCAGTGGGGCCTTGACCTACGAGTGTCCCGACTAACGAGTTTTTCGAGATACGAGCCGTCTCTCGGCCAATTTTTTGCTTTGAGTTACGAGCTAAAATTCGGGTTATGAGCCAGCTTCAGATACCCCACCGCTAGTTGGCGCAGTGAACGTCACAGTGAACGCCACCACATCAGCCCAGCATCACGTGTCTCACTTGTTCACAATTGATTTGACATACGAGTAATTTGAGTTACGAGCTTTGTCACGGAACGAATTAAACTCGTAAGTCAAGGCCCCACTGTACTTCTCACTTCTGCATGTCCCTGAAATGAGGAGTTTCTGGGGCCCCTGAAGTGGTGGGGGACCGAGGGAGGTGATCCCTGACTGAGCGTAGTCACAGGACAGATTGGGAAAACACCCCCAACACAAAGACAGCTGAGCTCTGAAAGCATCCATTCTTAATTGCTCTTTTTCTCAGCGCCGTAAGAAGTTCTGAAGGACAGAACTGTATTTTGCCTTAGAAAATGTCTTTGTACCTTGAGCACATGGAAGAAAATTTGTCAATTCCCTTGCTTCCCTCTTCCAGCATCTGGCTCTGACTGCAAAACGGCCGCATAATCTTTGAACACTCCACCCTTGATTGCCGTACTCTGAGGTGAACGTAAGTACTTAGGAGTAACGCTCAACAAATGACAATGCTCTTCGCCTGACACCCTGCCTTAGAAGCTGTGGGTTAGCAGCTTGCGCTCACCTGCCCCATCTCCCGGGAGCCGGGGAGGTGGGCCGCAGTGGCTTCCACCCTCCAGGGCCTGCGAAGTCACCTCCGTGGCAGGGTGACAGTGGTTGCTTTACAGACGGTTTGAGCTGCACAGGTGTCCCCTTCACAGCAAAAGTCCTCTCCCTTCACACAGGGCTGGCGGCAGCCCCCCTGCCTCTCCCTCCTTGGAGCTGGTTGACTCAAAGCCCTCCTCTCTGTCTCCGGGAGCAGGTACTCCGTGCCGGAGCCTCTGCTCTCCTGGCTCCCTCGCAGCTCCCTCAACATGGGTTATGCACGCTGTGGGGGTCTTTCCCAGTCTCCCCCAGACAGGTTCAGGGGTATTTCTGTCGCTGGAGCCTCCTCGGACATGTGATTGGGGATTTCACCCTGTGACTGAGGGCGGAAGGACCCCATCTGTCCTGTGTGGTTTCCCCGTATCCCTTCCTGATAATGCAAACCCTTCCCCTTTATTGTTCCTCTTCTGCTGTCCCCCAGAGGACACCGGTGCCCATCACAATAAGAACCTTAGAGGCTGCCAGACAAATAGAAAACCTCTCTCTCTCCCTCCCCCTCCCTTTCTCTCTCTCTCCCTCTCTGTCTCTCTCTTTTATCCTCCTTCTGCCTCCCTCCCTCCCCAGAGCAGAGAACCAACTGCCCGGCATTAGTGAGGCCACGTCAGAAGCTTTGTCTTTTATGTGTCATCTCCTCTCCTGGGGAAATCAGTCACTTTTAGTTTTTTTCCATGTTTACGGAATTTTTCTGGGGAGCAGACTTGCTCTTTCTGCCTGGTCTGCTTTCTCCGGAAGCCCCGCCAGTCCTCAGTGGCCGGCAGTCAGTGCGGTGTCCCCTAGCAGGTCCCGGGGCCCTGGCTGTGGGACCCTGGGCAGTGGGACAGGTGGCCCAGGGGGTGAGCAGATGAGCCCTGCCCTTGCCTCTCCTGCCCACCTGCCCTCCCAGGGGCAGATCCTGCAGGAGGAAGGTCCTGCTCACACTTCACTCGTGCACAGGACTCGCCCCGGAGCCGCGCCAGGGGTGGCAGGTGGCCACT